TAGGGTTTTGGGAGAGAGCAATCCCAAAACCAGAAGAAGAATTTGGAAGGTATAGGAATGGAAATTTCAAAAATTTTTAGAGGAGAAGCAAAACCCTCAACATTCAATAAACAGACAAGAGTATTCCAAGCACAAATTCAACACAAGACACGCCAATTTGAAACAATTCGACAGACATATCAAGGGTACCCAGTATTGAAAATCCAAGAAGACACAAAATAGAACTACAAAGAATACAAATTCAAGGGCGGAGAGACTTACTCATAACCGTGGATCAATGAAAGATGGAAGTTTGAAAGAACGCAGGAGAAATCACCGAGACAGTGAAGGTTTTTTGCAGAAAGAATTTTGAGTATAGAAAAATTCGAGAGTTGCAGAGGTGAAAAAAGTCTAAAAATCTGCTAAGTGTTGGATTTATACTTGGGGAAGTTTAAGGGATGAGAAGAGGAAGACCGTTAGATTCAAGCCCGATCGTACGGTAGGAGGCATTAATTAACACGGCACTCAAGGTTGGCACGTTATGCGAGGGGGTGTCATTATTAAAGCGCCTGACACATGCAACCAATGCGACGTGTGGCAGAAAAGCGGGTGCGACAGAAAGGACTTGAAACAGACGACTTTATTTCTAGCGATAAAGGGAAAATTATTTGAAAATATGAGCGAAAACTTACCAGCTGGTCGATATTTGACGACGAGCCATCCAGAAGGTCGATAGATACGAATTCACTCTTAGATCGAGTCATTGAGACTCGACCAGAGTGGGGGGGACTAGATGATATGGGCTATTATATACTCAAGGATAAACCGGTCTGCTCAGCCGGTCAAGAAGATCGATCTAGGAGGAAGCCAAGACAAGAAGCGGGAGGATCAATCATTCAGATAGTCGACTAGGCAGGTGGTCGACCAGTTAATCGCACGACCAGACAAACGATCGAGCAACCCATCGCTCGACCAGATACATGATCGGGCAACCTATTCGACCTCAATAGGTCGATCGCTCCGAGGAACCAACAGTAGGCCTAGTCATGGGCGCGTGTATCATGGGCGCGCGTAAGAGCCTCTAACTGAATCCCAGGAGAATATTTACCCCATGTGCAGGGGGGACACGTGTCGACAATGTATTGGGTGATAGCGATAACCACCTCTGACAGCTCCCAACGCCACGCGCCACCTCTGACCTGTGCACGACGTGTCAGAGTACGGACGGGCAGCTTGGGCAGCCAGCTCATCATTATCTGGGCAGCTATTAGGGCAGGTATCTCACCCCTATATAAAGGGGGTGAGCCTTTCTCTCTTAACACATTCTATTTTCCATACTTCACTTCAGTATACTCATACACATACTGACTTAAGCATCGGAGGCTCTTCACCGGACACAACCCCCGGTGTGAGAGTTATTTGCAGGTTTCCGGCGTTCTATCGGTGAGGACAAAAACCGATCTATTCCGAACCGGACCAGGACGCTTACACTTGCATTACCTTCCATCGCTCTTCACAAAAAATGTGAATCGGCAGTTGGAAATCTAAATTTAATTTATAAAATACATTTAAAAAATATGCGGATCTGGTTAAAATTTTCAACTTTAGGTCGAATTCCAAAAGAGTTGAACCATCATTTGAAAATAAAAAACGAAGTATTGATTATTTTTCCAAATCTCATTGTTTTTTCAAAATAATAAAAAAAAAAAATACAGATCTGGATGGACTAGGAAAAAATATATGTGATAGTTTTTTGCATAATTCATAATTCTTGATTTTATAATAAACAAATTGAGAAAGAATCTTGAATTTTACAAAATTGTAAGCATCAGATGAAATTTACCTAAATTAAATCTACAAAATACACGAATTTAGGGTGCATTTATGGCAAATCGATTTTTGGGAATTTTTTATAAAGAAATTCAAATTTTACTGAAAGTAGCATGCAATAAAGAATCATTTATTTATTTAAAAAAAATAAAAAATAAGTGGACTAAAATAAAATAAAAAAAAATTGTGGACAAAAATAAAACAGACGGATTCTCAAAATCCGTGTTTTACAGAAACACGGATTTTGAAAATCAGTGTAAGTTTAATTTTACCACGAACACGGATTTTGAAAATTCGTGTTCTATTAATTGTGAACTGAACACGGATTACCACAATCCGTATTTACTTAATCTTGTAATTAACGCTAATTAACTAAACAAAATACAGATTATGATAATCTGTTTTAAAAAATACAGAATTTCGAAATCCGTGTTAATAAGCAAAACGAAATTTCAAAATCCGTGTTTGTGTATTTATTCATTTTTTTTATATTAAATACAACACGGATTCTGAAAATTCGTGTTTATGTAGATTTAGAATTAACACAGATTTTCAGAATCCACGTTCGTGAAAAAAAAATGGTAGAAAGAACCGGATTGAGGACTCGAACCCTGTACACGTGGGCGAGTCAGTTTTCTACGGCACACCTCCTACCATTAGGCCGCTCTAGGCTATCACTATTATTTGTGCACAAATTTTATTCTTATACTTGAATATAAATATTTTTTATAGTATATAGTTTTTTTTAATATATACTATATACATATATTTTATAATTGACTGAGATTGTTATATAATAAAATTTAATTTTTTGGTTTTGTTTATTTATTTATTTATTTTGAGTTAGGGCTCGACTCTTGGATGCTCACGAGCTTGTTACTACCGAACGCGTTTATTTTGGCTGAATTTATATTGTTATCTTTCAATATGAAGATTTTTTATAAATTTTGATTTAACATTTTGAAGCACAATTAACGATAAAAAAAATGAACCACGAAATATGTACACAAAACCATCAAATTAAATATCTCAAAATCCAATACAAAAAATAAAACTAACTAACTAGGAGTAT